TGACTTTCATACATTAAAACTGAGGAACTTGAGATATGTGGCCGCTTGAGTGGCTTGTACACCAAAATAACAAATGATGGTATCGAATATTCACCAACATACATAAAAGACTTGCTTTCATCAGATGGCGCGTAGAGTATTACTCCCCCTTCTCTGGTTCCACTCAAGAGAGGGCGGATAATAAGGTTATGTGTGATGTCATAAGTAATAACTCTAACGTTGAAACCAAATATACTGAATCAATGTAGAAAAGAATATCTTGAGTATACTATGCCATCTCATTATGTTTACACGATATAATCAATATAGGCAAATATAGAGCCGCTGCTTACTGGGGGTTGGTGCCTCGATGATCTTCAAATTGAATTTTCTGCCACCTGACCTGACAAAGTGGTGAGGGACGAAGCTGTTTCCTTGGACCGAAAGCCACTGACATATTAACAGTCCATGCTTGCTGCTTTTGCAGAAGATGGAATTAGAACGAGTAAAACATATCAACGATAAATAAATAAATGAACAACTACCACTGCTTGAAGGATTCCGTGCAATCACACAGATCAATGCTCATTGAAATTTCATGAAGGCAGAGCCAGATCGCTTCATATTTCACAATAATAACTAGAGCCCTGCAGGGGTAGATGGGTGGGGGAAGGAGAGAAGAAAGGACATAGGAAAAACTCCCCCCTAAAGATAACACTCTGAACACTGTCAGGACTAGTCCAATCAAAGCATTAACCCTTCACTAAACCAGGGACTGACCCAGGGCCCTATATGAATCTCTTAGAGATATCAAAAGGCAGACTGGCGTAAAGCACATGGCTCATTCTTACAACCTTAGCGACATGCTAGTTCTAAAGTCTAGCCAATAGCTATGAGCTGCTGGTAGTGAATTGAGTCAGCTGACCACATTTAGACCTGCAGTGCTCCAGCTGTATCCCTGACTGACAGAGCAGAGAGGCATGCTGGGTAATTGGTCTTTAGCGGAACCTTTTAACAGGCACTTGTGGGCTTTGTACAGAGCTGTTAATGTCAGGGTGGTAATGTTCTGTACATGTTAGGGAATGGCAGACACTCTCTCTTTCTCTCTCTCTACGTTCTCTCTCTCTCTTTTCCCCAGAGCTCTCTCTCACTCAGGTGTGATCTCATATGCTGTGGATGGGAATCGATAGGCTCAGTGGCAGGGTGTTCGATGCCGGCCTGAATTATTGCTTCATTTTTCTCCCTATATAGATGAGGCCTGTTTTTTCCTAGCCCTCCCCACACCAGGATCAATATCTTACAATCTCATTTTTATCCATTTTTCCATAAACCCAGTGATTGCATTTATTTGGAAAATCCGACAAGCTAAATAAGGCATCGCTTTAAGAAAGGGGAAAAACATATAGGAGGAACCTGTGGCCATAAAACGGATGACTTGTTTTCTTTGATCCTGGGTGGAGGCTGCTGAGAGCCAAAGACATTTGTGTGAAATGGCCCTCAGAAGACTTTATGCTTCTGAGCAAACCAATTTCACTATATCTTTATGGTGACCATTTTCACATGTCAAGGATTAGCAATTTAACTGGAATGGTAATCATTGATCAAGCAACATGACACCATTTGTCAATAGAATTAAGGAGTCTAATCATCAAAATCGAACAATCATTCAACATGTTAGGAAAAAAATGGCTGTATCACTTAGGGCTGAACGCAGTGGAAAAATGTCTGCAGGCAAATCAGCTGAAGAATGATTAGGAAGACCTCAATGGTTAGCAAAGCAGTAATCTCAAAGTCTAACATTTCCCCCTAATAATATATATAGATTTTTAGAATTTTACAATGTTTTATTTTTTGTAACATACATGCTTCTAAGATATTTACCAAATTTATCTCCCATTAGATTCTGCAGGGCATTGAATGAGGCAGCAAGCTCTTTAGAAACTCTACTATATCACCAATGCCATGATGCAATTTGGTTGTGCTATTATTTACCATAAGACATAATAGGCTTATAACAGCTAATAGGTAAATAACAATCTCATGTCAAATACTTGGACACAATAACCCAAAGATGTGAATTGAATGTGTGAATTGAATTGTTTTTATCTTTGAAGCCAGAACTGAGTGCAGTTCAACGCCCTGTAGGAGAATATAGAACATACCACTGTAACCTAATTTAGAAGCCCCCATTCAAAAACTTTTTTAATTTTTAAAATTATTTTTGAGGAAACAAATTAGATAATTATCCTAATAGTAGCCATGATACATCTGCATGCCTTGTATATTTAGTCCCAACTAAAATAAAAGAAGAAAAGGAGACATTTAAGCCTAATAAATGTTCCATCCCTGACTTTCATCCAGTTCCATTTTGGTCTGGATCAAAAGCCTGGCTCTTCCTCACCTCCAGTGACTAATGCTTCCCAAAGACTTCATCATTGGGCAGGCATAAGAGAACTCCCCCTAATGTGATCCAGCAGAGTCTTTTTAATATCAGGCCTGATGGGTGCTGCTCAGCCCACTGGCCTGCATACTGAGCAGGGATGAATTGCCTGCTGAACCTCCCGAGCGATTCATCAACACCTCCAATCTATCGGCCGTGTGGGGCCGCACACATGCTCACTGGCAGATAGCGTTATAACTCTGCCTCGCGCAGCAGAGAAACGGATGGAAAGGCCTTTTGACAAATGATGCAAACGTGGCAATCTGGTGCGAGGTAATACGCAACCAAACATGGAAATGCATTTGTTGCAGATGGAGAGAGGGAGAGAGAGAGAGGGAGAGAGAGAGAGGAATGACTCAATGCTGTTATCTGCAGAGTGCCATGCAGGACGGGTAATGTCCCAGGCGGAGTGAGCTTAATTGTTTCTGATGATAAATATAATTGCACGGAGCCTTTGGATGTTTAATTGCAGGGAGGAGTGTGGAGGAACTACTTGCACGATCACTTTGACTGCAGCGTTCCTTGCCGGATGTCTTGCGCATGGGCTTTAATTGCAGCACCTTAAACCTCTGGCCCAAACCAAACAGGAGCACAGTGTGATGGGATTTGATGGACCATATCCAAGGCTCAGTTGTCCCTCTGTGTACATCTGGGCTTCCATTTTACCGCAAACTCTTCTATTCACCAGGGCGTGCCAAGAATCTAAGACCCCTAAAATGACATCATCCATTATCTGGCAGGCTTTTGAGGAATCCATTAACTGAGTGGTCTCTGAGTTCATAAGCAGAGAGCAGTCTGTGCCAAAACGCAGCCGCATCATTACCGAGTACAGTGAATACCATTGTCAGCCACAGCATTTAAAGGTAACTGCATTTGATAAGAATCTCATGGTCAAATTAGAGTTCGACTGTGATGAGAACAGTTATTTAATTGCTCTCCGGTGAGGCTGAGAGGAAGCGCCGACCCTCCACTGTTTTCCAGGTATGGCCCCGGCTTTCCGCATGGCTGTGTGGTGTTCGAGCGCGGCAGCATCGGTGCGCCATTGATTTAATTAGGTCTCCATTTCCTCTGCCTGACAGAAGTTGATTAGAGGCGCCAGATGCCCCATGTGTAATTCTGCTGCCAGCTGCCACGCAGCCCTGCCAATCCTCTATGATTAGTACCCACTGGCAACTGGGCCCAGCCCAGGTGCCAACTGGAGCCAGGGGAGAGAAACGGCAGGCTGATGTCCCCCAGCACTCAGATCGGGGGGCTGCTCGGACGTGAGCATGAGAAGAAGAGGGTGGCTCAAGCTGCAAGTCCTCAGTGAGTAAGAGAAACTCCAGGGGCAGGGGTGTCCAACCTGATCGAAAAAGTTTAGTTCCCACATGCCTGTGCTCAGAAGCCAGATCAGTGCAGTATGACTGTTGCTCTGCTGTTGCATTGCTCTGTTGTATCTAAACTACAGGTAACATGTGATTTACTCAAACTACTCACAATACTGGGTGTAAATCTTTTGGCAAAAAAGAAAAACATCAGGGAATGCGGCTGTTAAAAAATTAGCCTGACCATCTGCCCTCTGCTTCAGAGGTGTGTGTTTTGTGCATGTGAATTGCAAAATCCTTCCCTTCATGCCTGGCCATGTGTTCAGTGAATGGACCATGAAGAGAGGCCAAGTCCAGCGCCATAAACCCAATGAGCACACTCATTCACACACATGAATGCACAGGCACAGGCATGGGCGCACACTGAGCGGACAATGCCCACAGCTGAGCACCCTTTAAATGTATTGATGAAGCCGCTTTTTCATAGTGCTCTCCTGAGCGTTAAGGCATTATTTGGAGATTTCAATTGCATTTCGATCGCTAGCTCCCATTTTATCAAAAGTTACAGCATCATGCTTGATTAACAAACTCTCTGCCATTGCCCTCTTCTTAGCATGACTTTCCATAATACACTTCTTCCTTTTCTAGCCAGTCAAATGCCACTGCTAGACATCTGCTTTAATGAACACTGGATTCATTACTTCTTGTTGGCATGCAGTCCTAGTATTCACAAGTGTGGACTATATAGACGCTCTGTGCCAATATAGATATCACATGTGACCCCTCCTTCCTCCCCAAGATAAGTGCTGCGTTTCGCTTATCTGTGCATGCTACAGGATGTTCCTGCTGTTCAGGGGGCAAGCATTCTTATTAAGCTGCAGGCACAGGAAATAAGTGGGATTCCTTTGCAGCAAAGGTTTCTCTCCTCAGGAAGCACACTGTCACTGGACCTCGCAATGGAAAACCAAAGGTGGCCATATGCTTTTTCTTAGCAAAGCGATGGTAAGCTTGACACAGCCATTGGAGCGTAAATAAATAAATAGATAGATAGATAAAGCTTACATAAGGGTCTTCAAAAATTTGCAAAAGAACCATTTTTACAGTAAATGAGATTGTGAAAAGGTTTTTAAAGTTTAAAGAACCTCCGCAATATAAAGGCTCTACAAAGTTTAATGTTTTTTTAAACGTAGAACTCTATAGGCAAGACAAGAGCCATTTAGAAACCTTTATTTTTCATAGTGTAAAGTGAATAAAGAAAATCAGTGGGCTGTTTTTACCTGTGTAGATGAATCTGCCTGGTGTTCCCTTGCAGAACTGTTTGGACTTGTAGGACAGAGTAACCTCCACCACTCCGGGTATGTGTCTGGGGGGAGTCTGTACCCGGATAGCGTGAGGGGTGATGAGCTAAGTGAAAGAAATGAAAGGAACAAGGAAAGGATGAGAATAATCTTCTAAACTCATCTGCACCCTTAGATAACATCCCTTTATCATGCGTAACAACAGTAGGTTTGCACAATTAATCACATATTAATCAATATCGCAGTTTTGACCTGTGTAATTACCTAATCACACAGGGCTGTGATTAATGCATTCTATATTATAGTATGCCTGCTGAATCACAATTAAGAGTTCTTACTGCTCTAATGAACCAAACAAAGTTCTGTATGTGTTGTGAGTGTAGGACAACGTCCTATTTAATGTTATGTAGCAAAAAGTGCAACGTCAAGTGCCCATCTTAACTGCAATTTTTCATTGTCATTGTTGTTATTATTGTACAGCTTGAAGTCTGAAATGACCAAGACCCACCAGCGGGTCCAAAGTTTTATTACACACTTGTATAACCAAAGAATAAGTTAGCCAGTTTGCACTGTAGTCCAGGTACTTACTGAATAATTAGCCTCAGAATGTAACAAATCGGGGTTTTTATGGGGTTAAAGGAATGGTTTACTAAATTTATACATTCTTCTCTGGATCTAGCCAGTAAGCCAAGAAATGTTTGGTGGCTGAAGTTTTAGGTTTTCACTGTAGTTAAAAAGCTAATGTAGCTCACAAGTAAAAGAAGTCTATGCTACTAAAATTGTTCAGCTCCAGTGCAAAACTAACCCAGTAAACTAGACACTAAACATATCTCATCTTGGCGACCACATTTAGGGTAAGTGGAAAATTGTGTAAATTCCATTTTTCAATAAACCATCCCTTTAAAGGGGCACAGTCAAAATGAAACACTTCACCATTGCTACAGCAGTGCCATGACAGCGAGATTTTTTAATAAACAGAGTAGGAAAACCCCTTTCTGAAGATGTATTTTGATGGTGGGTGGAATTTCAGATTTTTTTTTACTAGCTGGCTAATGCAGAACTTTTAGGAAGCTGAATATCACATGCATATTTATTTCTTTACATTACACATGTACATTGTAAATGCTACTGTTAGATTAGAATGCTCCTTTAAAAAAGAAAACAGGAGGAAAAGAAAAGCTGAGAAATTTAAATCAAAGTCTAGTCATTAAATGAGACACAGAAGAGGTGCTTTTCTCTTGTGGTATATGAAAAGCATATGGAAGCAGATAACTAAACATAATGAGCATCAATGCTAGTGAGCAAGCAAGGAAAAGAAATAGTGATGGTAAAGGAGCGAGAGTGTAAGGTAAAACTGTGTCTCCCTGTGAGTGGATCAGCTCATTAATCAGACCCATGCAGAAGCACAGGAGAGGAAATGACCTCTGGCCTTTTATCAGGGTACTGCATGCTGCCTGTAATACAGAGAGAGCTCTTTTTGGGTTATAATGTCATGGGCCCATTCATTTTCTCAGTTTGGCTTCTCGCTCCTTGAAATAAGATTTTTTCCCTCTCTGTGGATACTGCTGAGTGGATTTAGTGAGTTAGCAGGGCAGAGGTGATGTGTCATCACTCGAGAATATGGAGCTCCACAGAGCCTCGCCATGAAGTTACATGTATGCCAGTATGTAGGCTGTCAAGACAAGACAACAGCATAATGTTTTTTATTCTGTTTAAATCATGGAGAACAATCATGAAGCTGAGCATAAGGCTCCCATTCTTGAATGCACTGTGACTCAACAGAAGCTGTATAAGTAGACTGACTGCAACCGCATGTGTTTAGGAGTGGATAACTAGCTGCTCACACATTGCTGCTTTCCAAGCAGTCGCCGCTGACTACCTGCAGCCACATTCACTCTGTTACCAGCGGTATTAAATAGGAGGGCTTTGTTCTCTGATTAGACTATGATTTGACTGCTCGCCGTGCTCGAGAGACTTTGCTGAAGCTTCTTTGAAGGGGGAGCGGTGGCTCTACAAAGCAGCGCAGAACGCTTAATTTCCCCGGCGAAGCACCAGCGCGTTCAAAGCCAACAACGCCGGCGGTGCTTTACATGACTTTAAACCGTCCCTTTCATTGCACACTTAGCTGGGCTTTCATATGCCAGCCACTGCTCCTCTCACCTCTTAGATAAATATGGCATCGCCAATGAGAGGCTTTTTATAGAGTTTCCTCTTTCATCTAGCAGCTCCCACCAGGAGCAGAGTGGCAACTCAACTCTTACAGAGAGGGAGAGAGAGAGAGAAAAGGAGGGTAGAACAGGAGTGTTACACTCTAGGACATGCCAGAAAGCAATGGCAGTTAGTAGATATGCTTATTCTGTCCAGAAGAGGTACTTGGCTTTGAAAAGCTTATGAGACTAGACCTAAAAGTCAATACACCATTCATGGCTCATGGGTTATTCCTGAATTTTGGTCCACTTCAATTGATTACTTGTTAATAATGCTCAGTAAGATGGACAACAGCCTGCATAAGTGCTGTTCACAGAACTCGCTGGGTATTGAGTGTGCAGGTTGAGTGTTTTGTCAGCAGGACTGACCTCGCTCCAGACCAGCATGGTGCCGAAGATGACCTGCAGCCCATCAAAGAAGTTGTCCCCGATGATGATCACAGTGGCTCCTCCTGTGGTCCATCCTTCGCTTGGACTGATGGCCTTAATGCAAGGAGTGGCTGCTTCCCCCAGGAGAGAGAGAGACAGAGAGAGAGAGAGAGAGTACACTACACTTTAGATGCCAGGAGAGTAAAATCTGAAGTAATCAAAATTTAGTGCATGAAATTAAGGAGTGCTATCATTTCATGTCCTAAAATAATGAACAGCATTCCTGCAAAGCGTCCCCAGAAGACAAGGCAATTGACACATCTTTTCCTGATTACAGCAAACAGATTTATGGGACTCCATTTAGAAATGGAGGCCTTGCCATAACCTAATGACAACTGACAGAATCATTAAAGCAGTCACATGTGATTACTCTGAGGCTGCTCCTTTTGTAGCATCCCCATACGCTTCCTGACACACGGTGTGAGAGTGAGAGATGGCCCGTGCTCACCGATCATCAATCTCAATCTACGCTACGTGAAGCGACTGTAGCCCACTGCCTTACACCGGGATGACCTCTCTGGCTGTGTTTTGTCACTCTAGCTGGCCGTGGCGTGCCAAGGGTGAGGGCCAGAGCCCTCATCACTTCCCATCACTCCTCACCAAGGGCACGCTGCCGGCCTCTGTTGGCTAAACTCCACGCAGTTTGTTGAATTTCAAATGACAACGGTGCAGGGAGAGAGAGAAAAAGAGGTGAAAAGAGAGGCAGAATATGAGATGAAGGAGAGTTGAGAGGGAAACAGTCTGTCAACAGTAGCCCTAGGTGGGAAGTAAGAAAAGTACTCATGTTGCAGTAATTAAGTAAGCTTAAATTCATACTGCAACAGCACTTTTTTCAGAGTATAGTTGAAGAGCTCCAAAATGCTGTACATCCATTTAAAACGTTTTGGATGTAAAGGGGTTTGAAAAGATTAGCAGCTGATGTATAAAGCAAAAAACTGATAGAGGTGGTATTAATCGTAATATGGCACTGATATTCCTTACATGTGTCTGCTTCAAGGCCATCCTTAACAACATTTATCATGAAAAAAAATTGAAGTGATCTTTAATGAGTTAAGGAACAAAACCCTTCAATTTCCCCACAGCAATTTTCCTTTTACTTGGGTTGATTTCTAACAAAGTATTCAACTTAGTTATTTAAAGTGCTATAGAATGAAAAACATTTGCTGCTTTTCACAAACAAACTTTGAAACTTGAAGTAACAAGAATGGCTGAGGTCTCTATTAAACCTCAAGCTGTTGCTTATATATTCTGTTGTAAGTGTCTGTTAGCTAGCTAACTTGATGAACATTTGCTAACATTTAAAATAAGGTAATGGTAAGCTTACATAGCCAGTGAAACTATGATGATTAGATATTCCTTCTTTAAAGTGAATATTGACTAAATAACTTATGTAACGTACTCATTGTCAAATGGCACATAATATAGAGGTATTTGATGTAGTATATAAACACTGTTTTAAGTTTTAAAATTTACCACTCACTCCCAGTCCATACACTCTGTATATGAAAAATAAACTTCAAAAATGGCCCATTTTAAATTCACTGTTTTTGTGATGTCACAAAAACTATCACACCTACATATAACTTGCTTATTCAGCCTACAGCAGTTTAGCTCTACTATAAAGAGTGTTTCAGCTGGGACTGTCTTTTGAATGAAAGACAATGTATGGCAGCCAATCAGAACAGAGGTCATTTACATATATAACTCTTAAAGACACGGTATCGAGAACAGCCTATTTAATTCTAATGAATAAAGAGAGGTTAGGAAACGGTCATGTCAAATACATTATGATGGTTTTTTGTTACATAATGCCATAATGCTATAACTGGACATAAATACAAGGAAAATGTAAGACATGGGAACTGAATGATCACAACAGATGCAGTGCTCTTTCTTAAATGGCAAAGACACGCATATGTGCATGACTTTGCTTCTGAAAGGTGTCTCTCCTGCTCAGCTTTTGTTTAGGGCTCTGGGATAATTAATGGAATCTAAGAGTTGGACAGAAAAAGATCAGTCTGCCCCCTCTCACCCTCTGACAATGATCACCTCACACTAATGACCCCCAAACCCCCCTCCACCCTCAACTTGCCCAGCTCCCCCGAGGGCGAAGGCGGGCAGCGAATGCTAATTCGGGTGATTATACACGCACCTTTATTAAATATTACCCGACCCCAGCGTGCAGGGGGGCAGGTGCCGGCGCTTGTTTTACGACACTCGTGTAAATGTCACAGGCGGAGGGATCTCGAGTCCTTACAGGAGTCGATCAAAAGGCCAGGCGCCACGGGACGCGTTGTGAAAACAGCAGCCAGCCATAAAAATTCAACACCTTAATGAGTCGTGATTTCATTTCGCCTGTGTTGAACTTTGGCTCGGAATCCTGACGCCCAGTGCCACACCGAAGGCGCTTTATCTGACTAATTACCGCTATTGCGAGTTTGCTATTGGGGGTGGAGGGGGGCATGAGGGTAATGGCTACAACACAAATAGTCCAGAATTATTTGGAATCAAATATCATTATATTAACAGAAGTTTATAATTTATTTATTACTATCAATTACTATTTTGGAAATATGAGGGCTTTTTTTTAAATGACAATCATATTTCAGTAGTTTTCTAATTAGGCCATAAATACTTGCGTAACCATCGGTTTCATTCTGTACAGTCGTATGCAAAAGTTTGGGCACCCAGGTCAAATTATGTTTTGCTGATTTTGTAAGTCGAAGTTAGTACACATATTCTCCAGAACACACCTCTGCACATTTTAATGCACAATTACTGTTTATTTGATGAATTAACTTACTGGTGGGGGGGGAGGGGGGTTAACATAAAATGTGGCTTGTGCAAATATTTTGTCACATGTTGTATTTTACATTTTTTCCCAATATGTTAAACTCAGCAAATAAAAAGAAATTGTGCGCATAAGCAGAAAATGCCAAATTTAGGTTTATCCCTGTAGAGAATGTGTTAACATATTTTCATTTATAAATGCAACACAATGTATAATTTGACTGGGAGTTTTCGAACTGTTGCATATGACTGTAGGGCACAGCAATGTTAGGAAGACTACAAAATAACTTGGTAACAAGCACTCACACTAAATTCCTGACATGAACCACAAGTTCCTGATATCTTCTGTTTCAGACTATTAAGTAGTTGAACAATGTCATAACTTTGACTTTGCAAATGGGAAACAGGACAATCAGATGAGCACAATGAGTATGTCAACATGGGGCCAGGCTACCCTCAGCTCTGTGGTTCCCTTGTAAGCTTTGTTCTCACTTTTGGCTCCTTTTTCCAGGGCACGCCCGTGGCCTGGAGGTCCTCATACAGCTTCAAATTAATGGGGCTGGATGGGGATGAACGCCCGGCTGGGATGAACAGTGCAGGAGCAGGACAGAGGCAGATGGCCCGCTAGTGGGAGGGGCAGTAGTGCTGCAACTGAACCCAGATGTGATGAAGCAGCAGGACGAGCCCACAAAGCTGTGAAAACACCACTGAGAGCTGTACAGGGTGTTTGTGTATATGTGTGTGTGACCCACTAGCAATGCCCTGGGAGGAGTTTGCAAAGACAACAGAAAGCTTGATTAACACGCAAGTCTTCCAGGCAGGGAAGGAGAACTCCAGGAAATTCTCTTGCATTGTTGTTTATTAGCAAAGCAGCCATGGCAATTTTGAAGAATATCTCCTCAGGTTTTATTTGACTGAAACAGAATGCCATTTTAACCAACAATCCGATGGCAGTCAGAAAAAGAAGGAGGCTTATTTTTTCCATACAATGCTAAGAAAGAGATGAAGGAGGATGATTAAATAGTGATTAATACTAAATGAAAGCACCTCAAGACCACTAAGAATAATCTGCAATCGAGCACAACAAAATACGGACTGTCTGGGAGAAATCAGTTGGAGAACAAAACCACAATCAAAATGATAATCTCCTTCATGATTCCCTGTTAATTCTCCAATTTCTCAATGCATTTCTTACAGTATTTTGCCTTTTCCGTTTGGCTGTATGTGATTTAGATTAAAGAGAATGGCATTTTTTCAGACACATAAATAAACACTGGCTAAATCTTCTTTATTTCAAAAATATTCTGCATGTCAGACATGCTGTAATTTGCCGAAGTGGTGTAATCCACTTTGCGGCTGTGCGCCTTTCGCCTTTCGCCGGCTGCGCGCATGCTCTTTTCTGTGGCGGCCGTGCTCGGGTTGATTGCGGCAGCGCGGCGTAATGCAATTTGGCGGCTGTGCTAAAGCAGTAGAGATGAAGAGGCGCGGCGGAGCAATCTGTGATGGTAATCTTGGCCTGGGACGACTCTTTTGCGGGGCGCTGAAATTGTGCATGGATTAACCAGATGGTGGAACGGGAATCCATCTGATAGGATTAAACTTTGGTGCCTTCCTCCGTTGCCATCTGTTCCCCTTGCGCTGCTTTGCTTGCGTACAGAATGTACGCACATACACACGTATATACAAACACACATGCATGTCCATGCACACGCAGTGAACACACACGCACACACAGTGCTTATTCCTTTGAGTCTGGGCCCAGAGCGGCTTTCTCGGAGCCCCGCGGACACCTCTTTCCACCACACTGAGTGTGTGCCGTGGCCACAGCCCCCAGCTGACAGACCTCACTGCACAGGCCGCCTCTGACACGGCAGGGCTTGTTGGCCGGCGGGGAAGAAGAATCATGTTTCCAAACTGAGTAAACTACTGCGCTAGTTGTGCCAGACTGAGGTAGTTATAGAAACAATGGCAGGCGTGTGACCTGACGTTCAATAAAAGTTGTGGGTTCAACTTAACCTCTTAAATTCTAGGCTGATGATTCACTTAGAAATGGATTTATCATTGTGTTTTATACATTTGATCTACAGTACATAATTAATTACACACATATAATTGCATAATTATAGAATTCATTAAGTAGGTAGTAAATTGTATAAACATTCAGGGTAAATATGGTATTGGCACGTTCAAGTCTGCACTTCTAACTTTGTCCAGTTGTTTTCTGTTTAACAATGACAAAACGTAAAAAAATGTAAAGGAAGGGTTTTCTTTCTCCCAACCACAGCTGTATGCACAATAACATTTCTTTATGTTCAATTCATAATAAAAACCTCTCTTCTTCTACCCTAAAATACAAATTAAAGTTTATAAATCTGAACTTTCTCTGGAATTTCTCTGCTGGTTTCAATGATTATCAGTGAGAAATAATTAAACAAAATGTAAGAAGACCTATGAAAACCTTGAGACTTATTACTCAGTAACTTCTACAGAACTAATGTGAAAGTTATGTACTTATGAGAGAGAGTAGTTGAAGTGTGGACCCATATACTGGTCTCTTAAAGGGGAAATCCATACTTAAAAAAATGAAACATTCAACATAATTAAATTATTAAGATGCAAACAAATCAATGAGTTTGGTTTGATGTGAAATGCAACATCATGGAACAACTTGTTCAGAGATGGTGACAGTAACCAGACATTCGAAGAGTTTAATGCCTCTACAAGCTATCCTTACAGAAAGTTATTATATGAAATGGTTACAACTACATTGCCTGATTCCTAAAGATTGGTTTATGAAAGTTTTAAAATAAAGTTTAGGCCTAAAAAGTACATGCAGGGTGTTATAAGGAAAATAATATCATTTTTTTCTGATTTACTACATAGATTCCAAATTTATTACATCAACATTTTATATAAAAGTCATGTAACGTAAATGTAAAAGTAATTAACTTGTTTGCATTATAGACTTCATGACCCCGCGTTTCTATTACAACCACTGTAAAGAAATCTAAGCTGGTAAGTTTCTCCACAATGCAACATTTCATACCAAAAAACGAAATGAATGACTTTATTTATCTGAACAGCAGAGTTATGCAGATATTTGGAAAAATAGGTGGAATTCCTCTTTAACATTGAAGGGGTTACTCAGTACAAGCCTTGAAGAAGACAGAACTTTTTTCCATAGTGAGAACTGGATGCATACAACAGGATAACATGACATTCATAAATTAAATAATGCAATTATGAATATGCTGTATGGTTTGCATTGTCCATTCAGTTGTCAAATATGTTCAGGCATTAGGGGCACTGAGTTTGTAATCTTCCATTTGCCTTTGGAATCTATGCAAAGTGTGCAAACATGTCCCTGGGGAAAACAGAGCCAGCGATTTAACAGAAGAACTCAATCATCATCACCACCATCCAATCGGCTATATAACTTAAATCCACTCATAGTTTCTCATCACTGTCAGAAGGTTAACAGTCGAAGCCTGAAAATATGCTTCTCTTTCTCAAACCTAAATGAGAAAATGATTGGATTTGTTTGCCTTCTGATGATCAAATCAGATCTCAAATCATCTCCACATGTTATTAGAGGAGTATTAGGAAAGTCTGGCTTGAACCTGGGAGAGGCTGTGCCGCAGCATGAGATGGAGCATGCCAGATAAGGCCACGTCTCTGAGGAAATAAATGTGCAGTGCTTAAGCAGCTATGGCCTTATAAGACACATGTAGAAGTCTAAAGAGAACAGGCCACTTGGGGAACGCTGGATTCACGGCTCTTTTTTCAGCCTGCGCAAACGGCCCAGGCGGGATAGAAGTAGTGGGGGCGGGGGGGGAGGCAGGGGCTTACAGTGCAGTGCCGCAACTGTACAGCTTTGATTAAGGGGTCATTTGTTATCCCGTGGCGCATATGTGTTGTAGCCTTTATTCCCAGCATCTAACATGCGAGGCTGTGGATGTGGAGAAAGCTCCTGGTGTTTGGTGGCACTTCCAGTAATAATCCAGCAGAGAGGCTCTGTTGTGACTGGGATTGTAATGGGCTCCACAGAGACCAGTGTAGGCTTGAGAAGCACTCTGAGTTTCTCCTCGGCCTTCTCCTCTCCTCCACTCTTCTCTTCCTTCTCTCCCTTCTTTCTTCCTCTTCTCTTTTCCTCTTATCCCTTTCCCCTCTCCACTCATACCCTCTCTTCTCCATTCAACTCTCCTCTCCTCTCCTTTCCTCTCCTCTCCTCTCCTCTTCTCTCCTCTCCTCTCCTCTCCTCTCCTCTCATTTTCTCTAAACCTTTCATATCTCCTCTCCATTCCACTTCTTTCTCTTGCCCTCCTGTCTTCTCTTTCCTCTCCTCTCCTCACCTTCTGTCTTCTCCCCTTTCTCCTGTGTGTGTGTGATGCTTAGGGGTAGAGGGGTGGCACCAGAGTGCTATTTGATGTGTTTGTCTAAGAACAATCAGCTGTTTAAAGCAATTCTATAGGCACTGAGAGACAGGAGATGATGGTTATGAGCTGCTGTAAGTACATGCACCCTCAGTTATGTTTGAAACATTCTGATATAATGCAAGTGCAAGTTAACATTATTCAAACTGACTCTTAAATTCCTCCAATTCGTGTCCTTTAAAAGACAATGATTGCAATATTGTAGATCCAATCGGTACTGTCATTAAAACAGTCAAACCTTAGGCTCTGTGCTTGCATTTCTCTTTGTTAATGTGGTGCAAGGGTAGGACGCTACACCATTCCAGCTCTACTGAGTGTGACAAAGTGGCCTAGTTTTGCTGAACGCACATCGCAGAGAGACCTTGGCGTTATTAATTAGCTTTGTGCAAATAAAAGAGTTTGTTGGTCGGGGGAAAAAGTACAGTGAAGGGGAAATTTTCTAACGAGTCAGAGGATTGCGAACAGGGGGCTGAGGCGCAGTACATTACACATGCAGTGCAGACGCAACACTTTTCTGCCTCTCATCCTCTGTGTCTTTCTTCCTTTCTTGTCCTCTCTCCCCTTACCCATTTTCTTTCCTCATTTCTCTCCTCCTCCTCCCTATGACTATCTCCCTCTCTCTCTCTCCCTCTGTCTCTCCCTGTGAAAAAGTGCATGACTTCATTGTCCTCTTGCACCAGAGGCTGAAGGATATGCACTGGATGTCAAAGAGGCACAAGCATGCTTGGGGTATCAAACGGGTGAAGCTGTCCTCACAGCTCTCCTTTTAAAGTGGCAACACACTTAAGAAACAGGAATATTAGATGTGTTTTTTAATATAGACCAGTCTGATAGTACAGTACACATACACATAGGGGTTTGAGCCTCTGCCCCTTTGGCCTCAAACTGTACCCAAGTGCCTACTTGGTTGGTGTGTATAATAACTGTATTCTTCAAGATCCATTACAGCGAGATGTATCCCAGGAATATGGCTCATATGTTAGCTTGGGTTCCGCCAAAGATCTACAAGCTTCATTGCTTTTGGACACCCCTTCTGGTGCAGTACCGCCTGTGTGTTTTTTTTTTAAATGCTGTCCATAATGCTTTTGTTACTGTAAAAATTAGGGAATAATACAAGACTCTGAGGAGCTCTTATAGAGTCCTAACAACACGCTATATAGCAATTACATAGTTAGTATTACTGCATCAATGTTAGTTTTAAATTATCCTGATGTTATATGTGTTTTATTGTCAGAAAGACAATTATTGCCTAAACAGTAGTGAAGTGAGTAATGCCATGTCTTTGCACGCTGGTGACTGGGGTTCAAATCAAAGATGTTATGTTAGTGCTTTTGACTTCCTTTGGAAAAACTCTTAACATTACATTCTCTTGATAAGAGTGGCTGGAATATACAATCAGTTAAGCTAAATTTATGTTTATGTTCCCCTTTTTCTCCCTTAAACCCCTGTCCCTCCCAAAATGTCTGTGCATGGGCCGGCTGAAACTAAAGTGATGGACATTTGTTATAACTGTTATGAAGTGTCATTCCCAAGTATTGGAATGTAGAAGGCAGAGATCTTGGTAAAAACAACAAATATTCTATCAATTCTAACACAGTATATGATGTTCTTATCCAAGCCTCAAAAATTCTTCATAAAAGAGTAATGAATGGAACAAATGTTGCTTTAGTTTAAAATCTCCTATGAGATTTACTTCATAAAACATAAAACAGACTGCTTTTTGAATATGTTATTCAATGTTTATGCGTGAAATCCTTATTTAGGTAGCCTTCAAAATAGTGTTACCATTTTTCTTTCTCTGATAAACTTTAAAATTGATGTAATATTAATATTGCAATACCCAAATCTGCACTTTAACCTCAGTGGCTAAAAGAAATTTGTTTAGCTCTTTTAAATTTTCAAGTGACAGTTTTTTACGATTTTCAAGTGACATTTTTCACCATTGCAAGAATGCTTTATCCCCACCTCACTCGCACACACTGAACCACATGCTCACCATGCTCCAGGTATGATGGGGTGCCCTCTGAAGGGTCCAGTCGGCGAGCCCTGCGCCCATGTTTGGAGTTGTTGTGCACAAACATGTTGTCAGACACAGCCAAGACATGGCCGTCCACGCTGACCGTTGTAGACACCACCACCTGCAGGAGGACCACACATCTTTATGAACCCCCAGCCCTAGATCATTTCTGCCAATTCTCCCTTACTCCTCACACATCTCAGACACAGAAACTGTAGAACTGTTTCTCTAAAGAACCCAGACAATGAGAACAGCTGAGATCATCCACAGCCCCTTGTAAGCAGAGTGCCTCTTATTTAAATAATGGCCCTTGAGCTTCAAGAGGTTTCCATCTCAAGAGAGATGTTTGATGAGACACGGCAAACATGGCTTAACACTTTCTGTTTCTCTTAGTTCTTTTTTCTCTGTCCTCTCTTCACCTGATACCCTTGTTAACACTCATTTGTACTTCACTAGACTTTCTACATTTTCACTATAATCTATACTGATGTATTAAATAAAAGAGCTTCACTCAAATAGACTAAATTCAGTTATCCAAACTATGCAAAAATGCACCGATTGCTCCAATTACAGTCTGTAGAAAAGCAAATCAATTTGAGCACTCATTAAAGTTGAGGGCAAACTCACTCTATGGCACTAGCACCACAATTAAAATGAATAATTAGAGCCAAAAATCGAAGTGATCATTAGCATGACACATGAAGGCTGAAGAGTCTTGTCAAGCCATCAGTAGTACATCATCCGAACAATATGAATTAATAGGAAGTGTACGGCAGGGAAAGTCTGTGACATAAATTTGGGAAAACACTTTTATAAAAATTATTTTCTTTCTAATCTCTATTTCGGAATAAATTCATTCATTCATACACAGTAATGTTACTATTTACTAGTTACAAGTTTGGGTGCACTTACCCATTTTACACCTTTTATAATAATAATAAACCACGAAATAACACAAAATGGAATTATACAGAAACCAAAAAGTGTTCAACAAATCAAAACTCTCTTCTGTTTTAGACTCTTTTAGAATTTTGACCCCTTTTGCTGTAATGCAGCTTTACATACTCTTGGCATTCTCACTGGTAGCTTTAGGATGCACCTGAGAAGCTTTTCAAAAGGACTGTGGAAGATACACACATGCTGAGACCTTGTTGTTGCTGAAAAACTCTTGCTGGTGGCATGTAAAAATACACCGTACTGTTCAAAAGTTTTAGGCATCTGAGAAATTCATACATAAAAGCTATTTGATTGGGCAGTAAGCATTTAAGTGCTCAGAGCACTTATATTAGAATAAATGCAAATAGCATTGCATTATTTGATGTATGTTAGTGTTTTCATTTAACTGCTACCAGCCCTCTCTTCACAGTAGAGTTTAAAAAACAGTAATTATCATCCAATAAAGGCTTCAGCTAATCAATCCTTTATTAAATGAAATCAAGTGTGCTGATGATAGATTTTTAAAAATCCATGTAATGACCAGGGGAATTGAGGAGAAATTCAGAAGAAAAACCTGTGTTCTCCTAGCTAGCCTCTAACTTAATTTTGTGCTGCATTACAGTTAGTTCGAATTTATTGTAATGTAATGTGTTTTTATTGGCAGAAAGACAATTACTGCCCAAATAAAAGGTATTAAACAGTTTGGTTAGGTGCCTAGAACTTTTGTTCTGTATTTTTTGTATTTAATTTATTTGTTTATTTATTCATTTTGTTTTGGAAATAAGTTAATGCACAAGAGCATCACTTTCACTGTTTGTGTTTGCATTAGAAACATGTCATTTAAAAATAAGCCATTAGATGAAAATGTCTTTAAGATGATGAAAAATGTATATTCAATTAGATCCATCCAAACTACTGAGTGATAGTATACATTAGCATAAAGCAATCTTAAAGACAAACACATTCAGTCACGTGTCCAAATGTTGAGTGGTACTATACTCACTCTTTGGTTTGTCTGGTTGATTTTTGGCATTTGTTTTCAGAGAATAATTGAACATTAATATAGGATGGGCATATTAAGAGGGTATTCCTAAATGAATAAGAGCAAGTGGCTTCTTGTGTGTGCAGTCCCAGCTCACAGACTGGAGTCAGCTGTTACCTGGAAGCGTCGCATGTCTCGTGGGTTCCCTGCATTCTTTAGACAGTTTTGGTTGCATTTCAGGAAGAACTTCAGGAAAAACCTGGAAAGAGACAGAATAAGAGAACACATCAGTACAGCGTTGGTGACCTGATGAGAGCAGGCTGGTGATGAATGTACGGTGGTGGTAGACATCAGCTTGTAAACTAGTCTGAGACTGTGTGAATGGAACCTCATTATCTGTCATCACGTTGTGACAGAGAGGTCCTTGTAAGAAGAGCAGGGGAAACTTGTTATTACCCAGAACTCACACAAGGATAGAGTTAGAGACCCCCCTCACCCTACACACACACACACACACACATACAACCACAAACACACACGCTAGCAGAAATAAAGAGCAGACCATCTGTCGTATGCCAGAGACATGCCTGACAACCTTGTGATCCACACAGCCATATGAGGGAGGGAGAGAGAGAGAGAGAGAGAGAGAGAGAGAGAGAGAGAGAGAGGAGAAACTACTACACAGCATCTCAACTTGAGCCAAAGGTCACACTGGTGAGCTCCCCAAACCAAAATAGCCGATTTTGCACTTGATAAGAAAGGCAATAATGAAACTGCAGTGCATGAACCTGATTTCAACATAAACAAAAATATCACTGAAATAAAAAGTAATGTTTTTCTGCAGTTCAAACTTGATGTCATGCTTAGATACAGCATTTCAACCACAAGTGTATTCTCTCAAAAATGATGTTTAATTAACATTTAATTAATTCATTTTTCACATTTTGTGTTAATCCCTTTCTGCAGGCTTGCTAGTGAAAATCGCCAAAGATATCCTTATTAATACAATAAAATATATTTTTTTTTTTCAAAATATAACTATAGTTGAATTAAAATCATTTGAAATATTTAATTAATGGCTGAACTGAAAGACCTCCAAAACATGCTGAAATTACATTTTATGACTACTGGGGAAAGGAGTTAAATGTGTGTTCAAGGTAAAGGTGCAACAGTGAATGGGGAAAAATATTATTAACCAATCTTATCATGTTTTGCCACCCTTTCACACCCCCCTTTGCTAATGAAGCAAAGGCACTCAGACCCTCCCTGATACAGTTTTTCATTTGCGAACAACTTCATGGTGCGGAAGGAAAATGTCTTTTGCTTTCTGATTCACATATTGTTTTTAACAATCTGTTTATAGAGAGTTCCTACAGTTCTTCAGCTGCCCTGCCCTGGATAAGAGACTTTGTGAATGCTCTTTCATCCAGCCATCCATGAAAGCAAACCCAATTGATGGTGCTAGTGATTATACAGAAACATTCTATGGTCAAAAAGAATAATATATTTTACTTCAGCTTGAAATTAGTGTTCTTCTTCACTGCAAGATCTTTTTCACTTTTGATTAAAGTTTGTTTTGATGACTGTATTTGTTCTCCTCCTCATGAATGAAGTCTGGATGTGTTTGTAACAGGCTTAACAGGTTTTTCCATATTTTCCCACTCCTCTGGTCTGTGCTCTGATTTCCACTATTAATTAACACAGTAGGGTTTCTCTCTTTCTTTTACTCTGCTCTCTCTCTCTTCTTTCATGGTTTAACCCTTCACTACTTCACTTTAGTGAAGAGCCAGTGTCTATCTGCCACTTTCCCTTCCACCTGCTGTTTCAAAGTACACAGCTACATGCGAGCGCCCCTTTCTATTACGTCCTGTGGGAGGTCACAGTCACGGCTCAGTCATGTGCTGCCATTTGTATGAACTGTGAATACTGGATCAAGTAAACAGTATGACTTACAATTCTTCCAACTGCTTCATTGCTCAAATAAACATTTCACACACACACATACACACGTAAACACAAACACTAATGTATGTATAGAACCACATCCCGATACACTCTTAAAAATAAAAGTTCTTAGCTCTTGGCATTATGGGGGTCATTTTGTGGAGAAAAAGTTTTTACACACTCACACATCTATTTATACCATAATATGTCTATATACAGCTCTTTTGGTCATGCATAAGGGGTAAGATCAAATAATTCTTGATCTCTATGCTATTGGCCTACTCCAATAATCTCCCTCTCTCAGAAAGGCAGTAAGCTAAAGATAATTATGTAAGTAGCCCATGTTTATGCTAAACAAAGGCAGTTTACCTACTTTTTCATGGCTTTCATCATTGCAAACATAAAGATTACATCTAACTACAAATGTGTAGCTTAACTGAAATATATCAAGTGAAAGAGAGCAGAAATTCTAAAAGTTATTAGCAAGCTAATACCAGAAATATTACTGTTAGCGGGCTAGTTAGCTAACAAGTTTAGCAGTAGCTAGCTAACATTTGAAAAACCCTGAACATTGTTTCTGTTGAGATTATAAAGCTAATACATTGTTAAGGCTAATAGCCAGAGATCCCATGTGTTACAATGTTGTAAGCCACATGGCTTTGAATGTAGCTCAGACTTGAGCAATTTTAGAACTGAAATTATCCATTCTGTATGTTGAATTTGCTCAATATATGACCACAAACATGAAGTGAATTCTATATTGATTGCTAAAAACATTCTGCTGTTGATTTAACTATTATGTTACTTGGTTACCACAGCCTGCTGTAAATGAACTGTTTAATAATCCCTTTTGAAATTTAAGAACATGGTCATTATTTAGTCTGGTTATTGTTTTTCCAGTACATTTTGGTATTACTGTCGCTTAGATATTAAAAAAAGTGGATCATTACAGGATGATCCTTTAAAAGGTTATTTAAATAACCAAAAGTGGTTGTTCTCACAAAAGAAACTGTTCCAACCATACCTTTATTAATTTTTTGCTGCTTACCTTTAGTTCACCTAGTTTACACAGACACACACACACAGTGTGATTTTAACATAGTTGAGATCCTTATACAGTCGTATGCAAAAGTTTGGAGAAACGACAACATGTTTTATTGGTTTTCCAGATGAAAATAAGTTAACATCTTCTAGAGGGAAATTAACTATGCCATTTTTCTGCAAATTCTCTATTTATTTGCTGAGTGTAACAGTTTTGGAAAAAATAAAACCTAAGATGTAAAATGGCCACATTATCCAATATGTTAAATTCAGCAATTGAACAGTAATTGTAATTTCTCTGCAGAAGATTTGTACTTATTTTTACCTAGAAAATCAACAAAACACGTAATCTGATCAGGGGTGCCTAAATTTTTGCATACAACTGTATGCATGGGTGTGTGTGAGTGCATTTATGTGTGTGTGCCCTGCTGTCATGTTTTTTGACAACTGTATACAACTTGTTATGAGTATGTGCTGGCTGGGATTTGCACTGGATCAACATGGATTCTGGCCTTTATCTACTGTCTATGCAATGCCCTTGTCATTATGCATTCCATACTCATCCCCTTGCATCCTTTCATCCCTTTGTCATGCCTCTGTTCCATCCATTCGTACTTCTTCTAGCGGCTGTAATAAGTGGAGGTCATAAAGACACAAATGCTCGCAGGCACACACACGTCAAGCGAGTGAGCGACATGGAACGGTGGTATTATTGCTAATGACAGCACTGCAGTCTTGACCTACACCATACAAAAACACACGAACGCTCTCCAAAGTGTTCAAAGAGTGTGTGAGTGTGTGTGTGTGTGTATGTGTCCACAAAGAGCACGAAGAGCAGCGCTGTTTAGGTAAACAGATTCGTCCCTGAGGGCTGGCTGTGTCGGGCTCCTGCAGGCTGCTATGATATCGTTTACTGTAAAAGCTCTAAGCCCTGCTGTCTTCCTCTCTGATTCTCCCCTGCTGCAGCCTGTCTGAGCTCTGCATGATCTCTCTCTCTCTCTCTTGCTCTCTCTCTCTCTCAGCTGCCCCCGTGCGTCAATAGTGCCGAGAGTATGACCCATTCCTCCTAACACTCGGCTTAACCCCAACACTGATATCACACACTCTCTCAGTCCTACTAAATCCCCAGCAAAAACCAGGGTGTACTAGCTTTAGCTTTCATGGCCTACAACCAGCCTTTGTCTCACAGGTCACACAGTCACACAGACACACTCACACTTTCTAAAGGCCTTTATCCACACCTTTGAAGTAAGAAGTGCAAAGTATGCATAGTTTGACTTCCTTGACCCCTCCGGCCCATTACTGCACATGGACACGAAGGCCGCATGTAATCACACATGTAATGTTTATTAAAGTGCCCAGCGTCCCCTTCGCAGGGCACTTTGGACAGGGACCTTATGCTTTTAGAAGTGATTGGATGGCAGATTGCAAATGGCATGGCTAAGAGCACTTCAATTAGCAAAGGCTATTACTACGCCTGGCGTGAGGAAAAGGGGCAGCGCTCCAAGCTCCTGCCACCGGCAGAGGAGTTACGGGGGCCGGAGAGCGAGGCCTGACCCGCTGGACATGCTTCTCTGCCTGACACATCCGAGAGCACATTACCCCCGCTGACAGCCATAACAATGAGCAGGGCTATGTGAGGGTATAAGAAAGTGTAAACACAAGAGAGGCTGTGGAAGAAGGCACACAGAGAGAGGAAAAGAAACAAGCAAGGGATAAAGTAAAGCAGCGGGGTGGATGGCTGGTGTCACAGGGGTTGATATAATCCTCAACGTATTGACCTTTGTCCTCTGACTGAAGAGTGGTCAAGTCTGTCTGAGAGCTGGATTTGCTGTCCTAATTGCCTTGCTGCCTTTCCGAAAGCTGCATTAAAAAAGTATATATATATATATATATATATATATATATATATATATATATATATATATATATATATATACCACAATATATCACACTGCACACTGTGCTATAATACAAACCAAATCAAGCTTGCATTAGTGTACATCAAGTTGTTTTAAAGCACCTTAAAATAAAAAAAAAAAGATCAAACAGACCAAACTACACATCTATGCTATGATCATGTCATAAAGGTCATATTTGAATAATCGCTGGTCCTTTACATCATATCAAATCTGAGTTACTCTTAAAGGCTTGTCAAACAAAGCCGACTCATCCTCACTTTCAAACTAGTCCTTTTGCCCTACGTTACCACCTCTACCCACTTAAAGGGTGACTGCCGATCCTCAATTAGCTTGCTCTAGCTGTGCTGGCTGG